GACGAAGCTGCAGATGATTTCTTGATTTGTTACATGTTTAATTTATATTTATCTCCTTCGACTGCCGTCAACAGATAGTTTTAGTTTTGATGTATATTTATTCCTATAGATCATAGTCTTTTTATCTTTTATTTTTTAATTCGATGTCTATATTGAAACATAGTGGAGATGAATTTATTGGATTTTTTTTGGGATCATTTGGGAGCATATTTGGGAACATATTCTTAATTTTATGAGATTTTGTATTCGATATTTCGTATTACTTACGCCATATTTGTATTTTTTTTTTAAATATGTATATTTATAATTACTATGATAAATCTTTATACTTGATGATAATATCAGAAAAGAGTTCGAGTAATATTAAAAAGAAGGGATACTTTGGATGCAGTTCCTAATCTTTAACATTCTTTAATTAAAACCTTAATAGTATTCAAAGTTTGATCAAGGTCACTTGACTTTGTACACCTCATTATATTCCTATTAATATTTATATTTTTATAGTTTTGACATTAATTGTTTGATATTTTATGAGATTTATAATCCTATAAATTTAAAATTCCTCATTATAACACTATTAGAAACGGTTACAATAAAAAAATTCAAACATTTTGATTGAATAAATGGATAAAAACTATGTAAAAATAAGAAATAATAAATGGCAAAAGAATGCATCCATAGTGTTAAAAAAATTGGTACATTTTACAGAAAAATTTGGTACATTTCACATATAACAAAGTGGTACATTAATAAAGAAAAATGGGTACTGTCACATCCCGGCCCAGGGCGGATCACTTCCCAGGCCCGCTCCACTACCGTAGCACAATATTGTCCGCTTTGGGCTTACCATTCCCTCACGGTTTTGTTTTTGGGAACTCACGAGCAACTTCCCAGTGGGTCACCCATCATGGGATTGCTCTAGCCCCCTTCTCGCTTAACTTCGGAGTTCCTACGGAACCCAAAGCCAGTGAGCTCCCAAAAGGCCTCGCGCTAGGTAGGGATGGGAATATACATATAAGGATCACTCCTCTGGACGATGTGGGATGTCATAGGTACATTATAAATAAATTAGGGTACAGATAAAAGATTAAAAATACTACAAATTAAAAAAAAAAATGTTGCAAATTAAAAGTGGGTACAAACTAAAAATATAAATATATGATACAAAGTTTAGGCATAAAACATAAATATGCCATATGTAATTTTTCTATCATTGATTAATATACAATGTCACGTGATGGTATACACATGAGTACAAACACAAATAAAACTTTAAAAATTATGGGCCCAAAAAGAAATTAATATATGGGTACAAATTAAAAATGAAAAGAAAATTGGTACAAATTAAAAATAGGTACAAACTAAAAATAAAAATATATGATAAAAAATTTAGCCATAAATATAAATATACTAATTGTAACATTTTTGACACTAAAGGAATATATTTAAAAATAAAAATATTTTATTATTCAAATAATTAATGATGTTATTAATACACAAGGACTTGATCAAAAATTCAAAATGAATAGGATTTTAATCAATGGAGTAACAAAAATAAGGATGTGAACCTAATTTTCCCTAAAAAAGGGAAAATAACAAATAAAAAGAGTTAAAATAGAAAATGAATAAGTATTGTACTAGTAGGTCAGCTCTTAATTTACTGGTCGTAGGGATTGTCGACAAAGATGGCGACTCGATCGATAGTCAAAAGTTGGGGGGAAGGGTTTGAATTTTTTACTATTATTGTCAGGTATTTTATGTGAGGTTATGCCTTGTAAAATGTAGTCGTGTCTTAATTATTTAGTTCCATTGGCCTTTGAGGTCTGTACGAGGAAGAGAATAATCCTTTTATACATATATAAATCGGCACTAGGCCAGAATAAAATTCCTCGGAGGAGAAGTAATCGAAATACAAGTGAACTACAAGTCTCAAGTGACTTCAAATTTTAATTAGGATTGTATTCCATCATGCTTCTAAATTAAAATTTGATGACTTAAGTTATACAAGTTTGGTTCGAAGTAGGGAGGTCCAATAGACATGGTCTAAAAGGGAACTCCCAATATCCATATTACACATGAAAAAGGGAATTCCAACATCCAATAGACATGAATAAGAGACGACAATTTGTAAACTACTTCACGAATTAAGCTGCTCATGATCTCCTATTGACTTCTCTTTCCTCAGTATCCTTGCAGACGTAATCTTGATTGCCGTACTGATCAATGCTAAAGAATGAACCAGGTTCGATCTTGATGTGTTCTTGGTTTTTCTCCAAAGCTTGGCTTAACAAACATGCAGGAGCACTAGGGTTCCAATTCCATGGCTTCAAGAACGAGTTTCGAACTCCAAGAAGGATGTCAATTGCTTGTGTCGATCGTTGGTTTATGCAGGGTCGTCTCTGACATTTTGGGGCCTCTGTGCAATTTTAATAAAAAAAACCCTCCTTATTTTAAAAATAAATAATTTTTTGGCCAATATATTCATACGGAATTCAACAATCAATATATTCAAAATTAGTCGAAATCAGCATCTCACTCTTACCAATTGAATAATCTTCAATTGCCATGAAATCATGCTTTAGGGTTCATCCATGAAAAAATGGAGCACAACTGAAAGAGAGATACGAAAACATGTTTGTGTTTGTGGAAGAAAGTAATACACACAAGTTAATTTTTTATTGCTAAAGAAAAGTGAAAGAAAGTAATACACAAGTTTTTTTATTGCTAGAGAAAAGTGAAAATTAATATATTAAGTGTAAGCTCCACTTAATCAATTGTAATATATAGATAAAATCATAAGATGATGGTTTTTCGTTTTAGTTAAAAGCTTTTTTCTTAGAAAATTTATACTCATATGTAATATATAAGAGGCTTAAAAATTTGGAACCCTTCAGAAATTCGAGTTCCTGTGCCACTGCACCTTTTGCCCACCCCAACGCCCCCTATGGCCGGGTTTATGATCATCAAGTTTTTTACCACTTCCTTTAACTTAACTCTGGTTCTTGTTGTTCTATTGGACCTGAAGCCGATGATTCAAGTGTCGTAAAAATGATGCAATTAGTCATGCGGCTATACATATATGGTTTTGTTTGTTTGACAAAATCTTATGAACCTTCTAATCTTCTCTCAGATCTCTGGCGGTTTTGGTGATGGAGTTAATTATTTTTTACCCTATTTATGGATACATTTGTGGAGTAATTTCTACTTCGCAAGGGTATAGGATTCGAGGGAATTCAATCCGAATTGGGAGAGGAAGAAATATTCGAAATTTGGTACATAAAGAATGAAAAGGAACCCGAGTTTTTCTCTAGTATTAAACTTCTCATACCTAATTGGCTCTCGATCGAGACACTCACCACTTGGTGTGTATACTAGCTAGTTACCATATAGTGAAATTTATTTTACTATTACTGATTTTTTTTAATTTCTTTTTTAACTCCAATTAATATATTATTCTATAACTATATACGTAAATTATAAATATTAATGTGGCTTTTTTTACAACACGAAAGTCTACATATCATAGTTACTAGAACAACGAGTTTATCATTCTATCATAGAGTAGAGATTAGTGATAATTCATTAGATTAATCTAACTCATTAAAAGGTTTAATTTTCTTCGCACATATGTAGATGTATATTAGCTAGAGTTATGTGTTCTTCCTATATATGCTTCCAAATTGAAATCTTCCTTTATGAAATTTATATTAGTTTAAAATAAAATATCGCTAATATAAAAAAAAACTCAATTATCTTACATTGTAACAACAACAAAATACAATTCGTTAAAGGATATCACACTTTGTAAACTACACTTTGCTTCTCGATTTCTCTCCTTGTTGGTTCCTCCTCCCTACTACGTTTCCCAGTATCCTTGCCATTGTTCTCGTTCATTATTCATTCAAGACCGCAACCCCTTAAAATCATTGCGGTAAATTCATCGTAGTACGTATCCTGATCATGATCATCGTCTCCTCCAACAACGAGTTCGCTCTCGTATCCGTCGGTAAAGAATGAACCAGGTTGGAACGTGATGTACTCTTGGTTTCTTGTCTCCAAACTTGATTTACTGTCACTTGTTGCAGGGGCACTAGGGTTGCAGTTCCACGGCGTCAAGAACGAGTTATCGAACTCCAAGAAAGATGTCAGTCGCTTGTAGTCGATGGTTGGTTGATGATCCGCCATTACTTGATCGGCTTCCACAGACTTAGACTCTGGTTCTTGTTGTTCCATTCGAGAACATGATTCAAGCGTCGTGAAACTGATGCAAGACAGTATGGTTGGTTTATGATCCGCCATTACTTGATCGGCTTCCACAGACTTCGACTCTGATTCTTGTTGTTCCATTCGAGCAGGTGATTCAAGCGTCGAGAAACTAATGCAAGACATGTTGCGTTGGGTCTTGTTTGCTTGGTGAGAAGCGAATGAGGGCTTCTAATTTTTTTCTTAGAACTTTTGATTTGGTGGTCTTGGTGAATGAGTATTTTACCCTATTTATATACGTGAAGTTAACTCCTAATCAAAAGTGGTATAGGATTTCCAAAGGAATTTCAATCCTCACTGGGAAGGCATTTTGATTCAGAAATATTTCGTAACAGTCAAGAAATTTTTATACGTCCTATCAAAAAACAGATAAAAAAACTTATTTTTAATAAATGTAATATTTAATTTGTCTTACAAATTAAAAAATGAAGCTAAATACTATCAAAATGGTAGTGTAGCAAATAAATGAAAGTGTTACATGTTTTGGATTTTTGAGTTTTTACAAGTGAACGACACGGCTTGTTAGATCTTGCAACGTGTCGACAGAAGATTGGTTGACTTGCTCCACGTGACCACAACCGGTTTCCAATTCTCATAACCGGATGAAACTGTAAAGACGAAAATACACTCGAGTCAAGACCGTCTACCTAATGGACGGCTGTAATTCATTTATAATCTGACACGTGGACGGTAATGATAAAAAGTAACCGCGACTTTCATCCCATGCCGCCTCACCCAATTATTTTCTATTCTGGAGAAAGGATCGAGTGCTCCTCAGCTACCTTAACTTCCCCTCTCTCTCGCTCTCTCAGATTTTCAATTTTTAATTTCGTCGCCGGAGTTCCTTCGCCGGAAAATTGATCAGTCATCGATCAACGATCGGCCTACTGCTGCTAAAGGTACGGATTCATGTAACATTATTTCCTCCTTTATTCCTCGGTCACCACATTTGTTATCTCATGCAGTTTTATGAAGAAATTGGGGATTTTTTTTAGGGATATTGTTTAATTTTAGGGTTTGAATTGACAGAAAGTTCATGCGCTTTTCAATTTTTAATTTTTGAACATCTCTGTGTATGTGTGTGTATGTATGCGGATGGATTCATCGCAGTCCGTACGTGCTGACACTTGTACAGCAGGAATCGGAAGAGTAAAGGGGGGGATTTTTTTACTGTGAAGTAGGAGGAGGAAAATGGTAAGTTGTATAATTTTTTTTTCCCACTAACTGTAATGTGTTTTATCTGAGTGGACTTGGTAGTTGCTTGATTGTGGCTTTTGTGCGTTGGTGTGGTTTGCTTATTGTGATTTTTTTCAAGCTAATGATCCTTATGGTGTTCATGTAACTACAACATTCTTTCGTTGGGGTACGATTTGAAGTTAAATTTTTTGAGAAATTCTATCGTAAACTTTGGCGTTTGTGTGGTTATTGTAAGTACTCGAGGCTGCAATAATACATGGCTAGGGAGAAGGGTGATTTTCGACTAGAGTGTATGTTATAGTTTGTTTCAGCTGCTCTTGAAGTTCTTATTTATTTAGTACTTCAGTTTATTGTCATGTGTGTAGTTAGATGTTCAGGTGTTTAGTGACGTTCTTTAGGATTGTCAAAATTCTGAAGTGTTTAGATGGTCCAAAGTTGAAAGAATTAAGCCTATGCTTAGTTGACGAACTTTTTTCTGTTTGATTTAAGTAAAATGCTTTGAAAAGTTTCCTTGATTGTTATTATCTTGAACATTTGGCATCTGATCATGTTTGAGCATGTGATGGATAAAGTTTCAAGCATTTTCTGAGAGTTTGTTACTCGCAGTCTTTCCAGAACAAGGGTTTATGGATGCGAAAGACCGGTGGGCATGTAAATGAGGGAGATGGAAATTTTGGCAACCATTCAAGAATGGAGCCAAAGCGGTCTCAACAATGGTTTGTAGATGCTGGTGAAGCAGAGCTGTTCCCAAACAAGAAGCAAGCAGTGCATATTCCAAACAGCAAATTGAGCTCAGGAATGTCAAATGAAAATGTCTCTTCTTGGGAGAATGCTTCCAGTTTCCAGTCAGTTCCCCACCAATTCATTGACCGGTTATTTGGATCTGATACAACAAGCTCTGTGAACTTTGCTGAAAGGAATGTGTCTCCTGTCGGATCAGATAATTGGAATCCAAGGAAGGGTATCGACGACCAGTTTGGAGAAGATGGATCTGTTAGTTTGTCAGTATCTCATGCGATGGAAGATCCTGAAACTTTTAGCTATGCTGGAATTAAAAAAGTCAAAGTCAATCAGGTCAGGGACGGTGACAATACTATGCATGTTTCGAGGGAACATGGTTCTAATAGGGACAATAATAGTAACCTGTCCACAAATCAGGCATTTGATAGGATAAATGAAACTGGTTTTTTATCGGTAGGGCAGGCCTATGATAAGGAGCACAGTAGTGTCACACTAATGGGTCATGCCTACAACCAGAGGGATGCCCATGGCAGACCAATAGGTCCCAGCTATGGCAAGGGGGATGAAAGTGTGGTAGCAATGGCTGACAGTTACAATAAAGGGAATGCAAATTTGATATCTTTTGGTGGGTTTCCTGGTGATCAAGATATTGTAGCCATGGGCAGGCCTGTTGGTAACTATGATCAATTATACCATCCGTCTACAGTTCAAACATCAGAAACTGTGTTCGAGAAGGAATTGGATGTATCAAATGCCAGTGCAGTTGATATTGCTTCTGTACCCAAAACAAGACCTGAGTCAGTTTCGAAGAATAAACCCGAGGTCAAAACATCAAAGAAACAAGCTCCAAACAGCTTCCCGTCAAATGTTAGGAGCTTGATTTCTACAGGCATGCTTGATGGGGTTCCTGTAAAGTATGTTTCCTTGGCATGTGAGGTAAGCTTCAGATCTTCTTGTCCATTTTGTTCAATTAGGAATCTAGGATTTCTTTCTAATGACTTGTTATATCCCTTGTGTAACAAGGAGCTTCGCGGGATTATAAAAGGTGTCGGCTATCTATGCGGGTGTCAATCATGTAATTATACTAAGGTAAGTCTCCCTCTCGATAAACTATTCTGAGGTAAATCATTTAATCGTTTCTCTTCTTATTTACATGTTACCTTGACACGATGTGGATAATTTGGTTAATGGAAGGTGCTTAATGCTTACGAGTTTGAGCGCCATGCTGGTTGCAAAACAAAGCATCCAAACAATCACATATTCTTTGAGAATGGCAAGACCATCTATCAGATAGTGCAAGAATTAAGGAGCACGCCTGAGAGCCTGTTGTTTGATACACTTCTAACTGTATTTGGTGCTCCGATCAATCAGAAAGCTTTTAACAGTTGGAAAGGTAAGGAATTCTAATTACATTTTTCTTCTTTCTGTGACTTTAACGGTTCATCAGCTTTAAATTTGTATTCAACATAGCTTCTCTCTTCCTTTCGCTTATTTAAAACGTTTGTTCCCCAGAATCATTTCAAGCGGCAACTCGTGAACTTCAGCGTATTTATGGAAAGGAGGAACTGAACTTTTAGGAGTGTGTATAGAAGATTGGAGAAAGTTTTTTTACGCGCGTGAAAATAATTACTTTTGTTAATGTATTTTGTATGGCAAATGGATGGAGGAATTTAAGCTTTTTTGTTAAATTGGGTACAGTAGTTTATGCAAATGTAAGTTATTATATGGCAGAGTTTATGGGTTGATCTTGATCTCGTTTAAACCCATCATACTTTTAAGTTTTTTCGGATTCCGGCACGTCCCTTGGAAATTTTAGAAAACAAATATTCTGTCTTCCACTCCTTATCCTCCCCCTCGACTGTCAGCAGTAGGTATACTACTGGCGGTGGTGGTGTCGGAGATAAGGTTACGGATGCTGCTCTGTGTGGCTACGGCACTGGCAAGGGCAGTCATTTGGCTAGTGGCGGCTATGGTTTCAGTTTCCTTTTAGTTTATGAATAATTGACCTTGAAGTTGGAAGAGTTATGATGTCCGTCAAACTTCCAATCTTCCGGTGTTCATATACTGAACCCTAAGCCGGAAGGATTTCCGGCGGCGGCGGAAATGTTCACAAGAACGTTATATCGTACAATTAATATTTTTCCCCAGAACTTAGATGTCAAATTATGAAAGTCTCAGATAATAAGCAACCATCTATCTTTCACACACAAAGGGAAGTCACAAGCACTAAGGGAAGTCACAAGCATAGGAAGGAGAATGGGCAGTAAAAAAATGTGCCTGCCACAGGTTACACGTCAATTCTTTACCACAAAAAGAAAGTAAAAACAACCAAAAAAAAAAAAAAAAAAATTCTGAAACCTTAAGAAACTACCTTTCACACACTAAGCTTCGAAAGAATGACACGAAAAAAAAAAAGAAGATTACAAGCAGCATCATATCGTATTGTCGTACAATTAGTTTTTTGTCTTTCCAAACATTTGTAAGTCACCAATATGCCCACCTCCGATCACAATGTAATCAACTTAAGAACCGCAGCAAGCTGATCTTTGTGCAGCTTGACCGGCCCCGGCTCCCTGGTCAGGGTTGATCTTGATTGTGGTAGGCTGCAAAACCGGAACCGAAGTCATTTAAATCCTTAAATCAGAGAACTAAAAAATGAAATGTAGATTATATCCCTTTACAAAACCAGGAAAGCAATTGAAATACCTCAGCCCTAGTGTCGGTGTCTGCAAGCCGTTGCTTTATGTCTCTTGCTATTGAAAAGAAAACTTGCTCCACATTAAGATTAGTCTTTGCACTCTGCATTACACAAGATGTTTGAGTACACGGCAACAGCTAATCAATTAGTTCCCGCAATTTATAGGCATCACTTACCGTTTCAAAGAACTTGATCCCATATTCATCAGCAAGTGCTTGGCCCTTGGAGGTAGGCACAGCCTAAAATACAGTGGAGATAAGATTAGGACGGGTGCAAACGTACATTTCCATAACTAAACAAGATCCAAGCAAAAGTAGGAACCCAATAAGAATTGCTCCATTTACTCAGACCAACTTCCAATAAGAGTTAAAGGTGAGAAATAAAAGGTGTCTTTTGATGATAGATTTCAAGCACACGCTCACCCGTTTGCTTTCATCCATGTCAGCCTTGTTCCCTACAAGTATTTTGTTAACGTTATCTGATGCATGCTGTTCAATGTTGCGAATCCAATTCCTTATGTCTGAAAATAGCAACAAGCCAGGTGAGAAACTTTCGAATAAAGCAGAGCACAAGGATCATTTGTTCAAGTAAACCAAGAGCATGGGAGAGAAATTTACTATTGAAAGATGATTCATCGGTTACATCATAGACCAGCAAAATTCCCATGGCTCCACGATAGTAAGCTGGGACAGAAGGAACAGTTAATAGAGAAGAAAACTGGTTATCAACAAATAATAGCATACACATAACACACCAGCAGGGCATACAAAGATATAGCATCGAACCTAATCATTCTAGTGTCAGACTTGTCTAACCAACTTCATCAAATAGGGCCCACTTATCAGTTATCGGGAACCCCTGAGATACAGATGCTAGGATGCCATGCTACTGGAAACCAGATGCCCATTTTCCAAACATTCCCATCAGTCCTATTGTATAGGTTTGCATAAAAAGGAGCCATCTATTATTATAAGATTCTAGCTCTAGGTTAAAAGAGCATAGTGTACTCCACACCCTGCCGCAAGTAACAGACTCGGCAGCAGCTAGTTAACCAATATAGTTCCAATATAAATACCCCATGGAACCAATTGAAGAATTCATCACATATATGACATAACATATAGTAAAAGATGCACCATACTAGTCAAAGATGCTCTGCATCTGAATGTACCTGTTTCATGATTTACTTTGGGACCAACTTGTCCACCATGCCTGCTTGGTACTAAAAGTCGACTAACCTATACCCTGTTTTTAGTCTAGAATATATGCCCTTAAGCATTGGCATTTTAAAATGGTGCATTTCCTCCTTTACTTCTGGGTTCCCATGTTCCCCAAGCGCCCTTCTGATAACAGCCTGCTTATAATCCACCTCTTAATGGGACCCTCACTCTACCCTTTTCTCCTAAAAGGCACATTATTTGGATTCAATCACCATTTTCTTCAATAAATCACTTGTACCAAAGAACTATGTCTTTTCTGACCAATTTTCTAGTAAGGAACTCAGGTTATAGAATTTAACAACCTTGTCTCTTGAAAAACTCTAAAGGTGGAAAATAAAAGGTGACTAAAATCTCATGGAAATCCATCTTCCATCAAGAGCAACATGGGTAATCAATTTACTACCACCAATGTTCTGTAAAATCAAAATGCAAGTACCTACGATAATAATTTTTTACCAGTAGTGATTGTACGGAACCTCTCCTGACCAGCTGTATCCCAAATTTGGAGCTTAATTCGTTTTCCATCAAGCTCAATGGTCCTTATCTTGAAATCAATGCTTCACAAGGATAAACCCATGAGGTTTAGGAAGCTTCTAAATAGAAAAAAATTATCAGATGCATTTAACTTTAAAGTTAGAGAATACAAACCCAATGGTAGTTATGAAACTAGTGGTGAAGGAACCATCTGAGAAACGCAAAAGAAGGCAACTCTTACCAACACCTGCAAAAATAAATAGGCATATATCAAATTTAGCAATGGCATTCTGCCAAGTACATTATTTGTAATATCGAAAATTCTTATACCAATTGACGCAGTCAACATTCTACCGACCGCGTCAAGTAAGAACTAGAGTCTTCAATTTATTGACAGATACCGCTTCGTTAGGTATTTGCTAATCTAAACATATTGCTAGACATTGCATTCAACACAAACTTTAAAAAAACGCATGACTTAATTTGATAAAAAATCTGATTCAGTAGCTCAAACCGTTCATAAATCAGACTACGGTAATAATCAAATGCTCCACATTCTTTGACACAAGAAGCTCATAAATCAGGAAAAAAAAAACAATTTCAATCTTAATCAAACCAGATCTAAACTACCCAGAAAGGAAAACCCCTTTTTCCTATATACTTTTGATTGAAACCCCAAGTCCAACAAATCTTAAAGCCTAAAGCAACCCTCTTTTGATCTCAATGGTAAAATGCTATAACCTTTCAATACATCATACCATTTGCTACAAAATTGATACATTAAACATAAAATCGATCTAAATTCAGGAAAAAAATACCCACCGCTGTCGCCGATGAGCAGAAGCTTTATGAGGTAATCGTAATCGGCTCTAGCCCTTGCCGGTGGAGCAGCCATTTTCTTTTTTATCTAATCAATGAGAACTCCAATACAATCAAATCCAAACACTATCTCTCTCTGCATACATAACCAAAGAGAAATAAATTCAAAACCCCAGAAATCATTCCTCCAGAAAAACTCATAAATCCATTAAAACAAAGAAATTAACAGCAGCAAAATACCAGATCAACAAAAAGAGAGAGAAAGAGGAGGAGAGAGAAGGGGATTTTCAGGGTTTGGGTGCCAAAATTAGTGAGGGGGAGACCTTGAGCGGTTCACACATACCTAACAAAGCTCCTGGTCCGACTATGGTGGGTTGGCTAATAATAATGCGCACCGTCTCCTTCTCCTTTACCCTTCTTTTCTTTCTTTCGTCCTCTGCGCACCGTGCGCACGGTAGCAGCCCCCTTTGTAGATGTACAGGGGAAGGTGGATTTGTTTCTTGTTCATGAATTAGGGAAAAGTTAAAGCCAATGAGGATTTGACAGCTTGTAAAGCTGGTTTTGGGTGCCACGTGGAATGGGTTTAGTGGGTGGTGGTAAGTTCATGAGATGTGGTCTAGCAAATGTTGAAATGTGGGGGAAAGTATCTTCCATTTGTTTAAACATAAAGAGTTAAAAAGACTATTTGGAATGAGGTGAGACTTTTTTTTGGATTGTCTTTGTTAGGATTAAGAAGATTTTCAAATTATGTTCATTCATCTTCAGATCTTTAAATCATGTCTGTTCATCTTACATCGTATGGTCAGAAATTATTTTAAATATTTTTATTTAAAATTAAACATAAATAGTACCTGACTAAAACTGACGCTACGATGTACAATAAACGAACATGATTTGAGGATCCGAAGATGATCCTTATTCGCACCCTTTTTGTTTCAATAAAACAAAACTACCTACATGATTTAGAAAATTTATTAGGGGATTGTATCGAAATGGACAAATCTTTAAATTAAAGGTGTATAAAAGGCAGAAGAGAATGAATTTTCATGTTGAAAGGATTACAAAGGGATTAGACAAATTTTGTTTGATGAGTTATCTATCTTCTAGCGTGAGTATAGTCACTTATTCATTTCCACCCGATTGTCTAAACCAAGCGAATCCTATATGGACACCATTAATGGACTACTCAGACATGACAAAGCTACTACTAAAACACTACAAATGCACTCCAAATACACTAAAGGAGGGACTATCAAAATGACACCTTAACATGAATTGCATCTAATCAATTTCAAATTCCTCTAAGACATATTCCAACCCTTGCAGTAAAACTCAAATTTTAGGTTCTAAATTTACCCCAACTTGCTCCAACCCTTGGGCAAATATGAGTCAAAACTCAAAACTCATCTCTGGGACAAATTTAGCCCAGGATTCCCACCTGAGTTAGTAGGGCTGACCCACCATATATGTGTATTTTTTTAGTTTTACATTTATAAATTCATTGACTCCAATGGTAAAAATATATATATGATGGTCTAAATTTAAATCCAACGACTAAAGTAATTAAAAAAATATTTTATGTGTTTCATATTCTTTCGTAGTGTTCCACGAGTTTTATGGTGCCGGTTTAGTGATTTTTCTATATTTTTCGGAATCTAAATATTTTTAGGTTAAAATGTTCATAAAATTAATATGATAGTCTACATAATTTTTTTTTTTTTTTAAGTTACTTTAAGAAAAAAAATTATCCTAAATTCATTCTTTAATAATATTGGGCTAAAAATTTAACCTAGAAGGGTTGGATGAGAAAAACAATTTATGGGTTAAAAATTTTAGGTTTTAACCCAAAGGTTGTGGATGGTCTAAGCAACTTTTATAGTGCATTCATAACAAACATAGCCAAGGTACTACGGAACTTTAAAGTTCATCTCTCCAGCGACTATCACTAACATTGCCGCGCCTCTTGCCCACTCTCTTATTCTCCAACGAAGGATAGTGTCTAGGGGTGCAACTAAGGCGGGTTGCGCAATCAACATACCTAACCCAAACCAATCCTTTACATTTGGGTTGGATTAGGTTTTTGTCCGGTTGCCAGATTAGCCTAAACCCTAAACTAAGTTTATTCTTAGAAATTTGCTCAAAAGATCAAATTCAAAAATTATAATCAGTCATTTGGCAAAAAAAAAAATTGTAATCACTCAAATAATTACTTCTTTTTTTTAAATAAACAATATTATCTACACTAAGGGGTGGGGGAGTGGTTAAGCCTCACAATGGGCTAACAATAATGTGGTTCAAATTCGTCTTTGACGAGAATCGAACCTAAGACCTCTCACTTACAAATGAAGAAAAATACCATTAAACCGTAGTACTAAGTGGCCTGAAATAATCACTTTAATATTGATCAATCACCAAAATAATCATTTTTTAATATTTGATAATATATCGCCTAGATTTGATTACATGTTATTGATATTTGATCGATTTCTTATTAATATTTGATCGATGTGTCTTTAATATTTGATTTTGATCATTTTCATCAATTGAATTTGTAACATTACATGTAAGTTTATCCCACTAAACCAAAGTATCAAACATTATGTAAAAAAGGTAACAAACACTTAGAGTTATTTTCATAGTAAGATTCTCTCTCCTCCCCTCCCCTTCTCTCGTCTCTCACTTTATTTTGACTTTCTCTCTCTACGAAGAAGTCAATACAAGATATTGACGTGATTTAATCATAAGTGTTTAAATAGAAGAAGATTGAAAGTGAAGAAAAATGGAAGATAAGAGAATCTGAATCTTATGTTCATCTAGTCATGTAGCAACTGGTTGTTTATAAATGCAAGAAAAATGTCAAATGATGCTGGTTCCATGGAAGTAGCACAACCGCGTAAAGTAAACACAATATAACCAAATTATTAATTTATTTATTAGGCAATATAACCAACTTAAAGATTGGTGTTATGTGGACGGGGGGCCGCCCCACAATGTGGCAACTAAGTGGTGAGTTTGTAACAATGCCTCCATGGTTAGAGAAATTTTTTATTATGATCGGAATACGGATGGTACACCAAGTGTTTTTATATAAGTAGTGGAGAATTTTATTTTTTAAGTTATTAACTTCTAACACACATATTTCACCATTTATACAATGACATGTGGTATATCACCTCATATTCTGGTTACTTTGAAAAATCTCCCCCATGGTTGGTGACTTTGACAGGCCAAAAGCCAAAGACATTGTCTTAGCCAAATCCAAAGAGTTAAATATAGGCCAATTCATTTTTGCTTTTTTTTTTTTTTTTTCCTTCTTTCGATTGATGAATGCCACAAAGAAGAATGTTTCTTTGCCCACTCTTCTTCTCTCATATAGTCTTGCACTCTTTGCTTAATTGGTAAGGCATTGTACAAGTACATGTGATATGTATTCAACTTCATAGTAATATAGAATGGGGGAAGATAATAAAATCACAGTTAAAGAATCGCTAGGTCATACGTGCATAAGTGAGAGCCGCATAACGAAGCGCACTTGCATCACATGGTCGAGAATAACCCTAGCATACTGCGGAACTTGAGTGCATCTATGGTCATGAATATAGGATGTTTCTTTCTTGATTGTTATCTCACACAGTCTTGCGCTCTTTTCTTTCTATTGTGCATGATTGATGTGTTTTAATTGCAGATGCATGTGAGTCTCATAATGATGACGAATGCACAACATGAATAGAACGTTATATTATGAGACTCACATATATCTACAGTCAAGTATGATCTTAATTTCATTTGAATGGCTTCGAAAGATTTTCTAACCCATCCATATGGGAATAATTTTGATAAAAAGTGTGTTTTAGACTGAGATTGATAAGAAAAATAATCACAACGTATTATTAAAACTTTACAATATTGATATTGTTATAAATAGGTAAAAGTTAGAAAGATAACCTTTACTAATGACAGGAGTGAAGAAAGTGTAAAATATTACACTGTAACTATAACACAAGGGGATGACAAATAAAAGATGGAGGGATAGATAATGATGTTATTAATCTTTCCTTGTTCTTTATGTATCTTGAAAGCATACGGAGCACTATATTTATAGAGCAACTCAAACAAACATATTAACTATACATTGAAATTTACAGCACACACCCTTTGACAATACGATCCTCCTTCATTTCCCAAGTCAATATCACTTTGTGTGAGCATTGAAAAATCTACCAATGTTTTCAATATCAATGTGGGCATTTATTAACCCACTAATATTTTCAACACTCCTCCTTGGATGTCCACATATCAACATCAATTGCCTCATTAAAACCTTGCTCGGAAAAACCCAGTGGGAAAAAACCATAGCGAAGGAAAAAGAGTACAACTTTACCTAGATTGTTGATATAGTGTTAAATATGCTTATGTTGCCTCGTAAAAACTTAATAGGAAAAACCCAGTGGGAAAAATCTTAATCGAAAGAAAAAGAGTACAACTTGAATTTATCGTGGGTGCTCCCCCTGATATTATCTCCTCCTGATTCCGCATTTTTCAAATTTAGCTGATTGGTAAGTTGACGTAATCAGATACTTTACACTAACTTCTGAAATGTGCACTTTGGTAGAGACTTAGTGAACAAGTCTGCCAGATTTTCATTGGAATGGATTTGTCTGACTTCAATAACTTTAGCCTTCTAAAGCTCATATGCACTGAAAAACTTTGGAGATATATGTTTAGTCTTATCGTCATTGATTAATCCTTCTTTTATTTGGGCAACACAGGCTGCATTATCTTCATGGATGACAGTTGGATTGTCTATCTTCAAAGTTAGACCACATGAATTACAGATATGATGGATCGTTGATCTTAACCAAGAACATTCACGACTTACTTCATGTAAGCAAATATTTCTGAGTAATTTGAAGATGTAGCAATTAAGGTTTGCTTTGTTGAGCGCCATAAGATTGTTGTATCTCCATTCTTGAACACATATCCAGTTTGTGAGCGGGCTTTATGAGGATCAAAGAGAAAACCAGCATCTGCATATCTAACAAAGACCTAGTCATTTGTGGACTTCTAAGTAGAAAATACCCATGTCTCTTGTCCCACGAAAGTATCGCAATACATCTTTAATTCCCTTCTAATGACGAATTGTTGGAGTAAAGATATACCTTGCTAACAAGTTGACTGAAAAAGCTATATCTGCTATAGTACATTGTGCTAAATATAATAAAGCACATATTGCACTCAAATATGGTACTTCTAGACCAAGGACCATTTCATCATCTTCTTTTGGACAAAATGAATCTTTTTTAATGTCCAGAAAACAGACGACCATTGCCGTGCTGAGTGGATAAGCCTTGTCCATACCAAATCGCTTCAAGATTTTTTTAATGTAAGATGATTGGTGGACCAAAATTCCACTAGCACAATGCTCGATCTGTAGGCCAAGACAATATTTTGTTTTTCCAAGGTCTTTCATTTCAAATTCACTTTTCAGATATTCATCAGTTTTA